CGGAACGTTTAAATTGCGTTAGGGGCGGAAATTTAACCGATTTACAAAACCGGAGTTTCCACTTCTTTTTTTTTCAACGTCCGTTCGTTTAATTCGATTTCGGTGAACTTTTTTTTACGTTCTTTTTCCTTCTCCGTTTTCGCAGGAATGGGTCTAGTGTCTTCGCCGTTCGCATCGATGAACCCGTTCGCCTTGCCGACCTGCAACGCCCAGAGCTACGGAGCGCCGCTCGTCGGGACGACGAAATAGCCGTTGGGGTCGGAGGTCGGATCCCCCAGCCCGACGGAGACGACGTCCATACAACAACAACCAATGTACCAAGTGTAATCGAACGCTCATCCAACTCTAACAACAACAACAAGAAACGAAAGGACGAACGAAGCTCATATCTATTGCACGTCTACTTTAACTGTGATCACATTAACTAAAAAAACATTAAATACTTGTGCGAATCATAAAACCCGCAATCAAAAGAAACTACACAAGTATTTAAGTGAGCGTCGATTGAAAAAAACAAAAAAAAAACAAACAAAATCGACTTGAATCTTAATCATATCCATGACGACGACAACAAAAACAAACATTAATTAATTGAATATAAACATATCGCTTCAAGCTGGGAAATCTTAAGTAAACGAAATTTTTTGAACCCAACACACACACGTATTTCGTAGTTTTGTATAAACATTATCTTAATTAATTATTATCTTAGAACTTAAACCGGTGTACATAACGAAACTGTACAAAAATTGTTTATAAACTACACAGATTTAGCAACAACGATACAAAATATTAAAAAATGAAAAACATAAACGATTTGGGATGAAATACGAAAAAGTATATATATATTATTAAATACAAAAAATATTTATATGACTCAAAAAGAAAAGTATATATATTTTCTAAAAAAAATAAATAAAAATCATCATATCATAGTGCAAAAAAAAACAATTGGAAGCGTAAATTTACCTGTAAATATTTACATATTGAATTATATTATATATATATATATTATACATAGAAAGATATAGATTATATTCTATAACTAACAAACAAAAAAAAATACACACACTAAGTGAGATTGATTGAGTATACGAGAATGACGAATTCGCCTTTTTCTGTTTACTTCCTATTTGTTTTAACCGTCGACGTAGGCTTTGTTACTTACACTCTTCTGTTTTTCACGTAAAACAATCGAACACTTGAGTCGACAGCAACGAGTAACACCAATCTGTTTTTAAGTCTACTTTGTACATAATTTGTAAAGTTTTCCATGAACTTTGTTTTTTTTTTATTAAACAATTGTATAAAATATGTTTAAGATTAAATACACGTAACTTGATTTTAATTTATTGTTTAGTTTATCTGTATATTATTATTATTATTAATACATTCTATATGTTTTTCGTGCAATGAAATATTTAACTTTAGTTATTTTTTTTCTATTATTTTTACACACTACACACGCAAATTTATTACGATAATTATTAAACTTAACGATAGAAGGAAATGTAACATAAATAAATAAATAATAAAAAAAAAATATACGATATGTGAATTGAGGCGAGAAATATTGATAACGATAAGAATAATAATAATAAAAAAAAAGTGAAAGTAAACTGCAGTTGTTTTTTGTTTTTTTGTTTTTAATCTTAATCCAAAGCCGCCCTTAGTTGTTGCGTCCCCTCGTTTTATCGCCGTTCCCGATACGCATGAATAAAAGTTACATAAAATATCCCGTTTTATTACTTTAATTTTTTAGATGAATATGTATTTTTCTCTCTCTTGTGTGTGCTGTTGGTTGGAGGACGCTTATCGGTGGAAAACTAGTGGAAGTTTTTTTTTTGTATGCAAATTTGCCGCCTGTTTTTAGGGGGCGGTAAAATCGACTCCAACGAATTCATCTTAAATCTTCCGGTTTTCTTGAGTTTATTTTCGTTTAAAGTGTATTAACTTGAAACTGAATCTTTTATGAATCGAATGAGTGGTTTTGCATGGTTTTAGTCCTTGTAGTTCTCTTGTAATTTACAGTTAAAGAATTTCGAATGAGAAAAACGGTAAGTAACAAGAACGACTCCAACAAATTCATCTTAAATCTTCCGGTTTTCGTGATTTCACTTTATTCTCAAGTAAATTAACTTAAAGATGAATCTTTTATGAATCGAATGAGTAGTTTTGAATTGTTATAGTTCTTGTAGTTTTCTTGTAATTTGCATTTAAAAAATCGGTAAGTAACAAGAACTACTCCAAGAAATTTTCTGGTTTTCTTAAGATTACTTTAATTTCAAGTATATTAGCTTGAAGATGAATCTTTTATGAATCGAATGAGTGGTTTTGTATGGTTATAGTCCTTTTAGTTTTCTTGTAATTTACAGTTAAAATTTAAGAATTTCTAATAAGAAAAACGGTAAGTAACAAAAACGACTCCAACAAATTCATCTTAAATTTTCCGGTTTTCTTGAATTTACTTTATTTTCAAGTATATTAACTTAAAGATGAATCTTTTATGAATCGAACGAGTAGTTTTTCATTGTTATAGTCTTTGTTGTTTTCTTGTAATTTGCTTTTAAAAAATCGGTAACAAGAACGACTCCAACTAGTTCTTGTAAAATCTTATGAATTTCTTAAGATTACTTTATTTTCAAGTGTATTAGCTTGAAGATGAATCTTTTATGAATCTAACGATTGATCTTACATGTATATAGTCCTTGTAGTTTTCTTGTAATTTACAATTAGAATATAAGATTTTAAAATGCAAGAAATGGTAAATAATAAAAACAACTTTAACAAATTATTTTGTAATCTTCCGGTTTTATTGAATTTACTTTAGTTTGAAGTATATTAACTTAAAGATGAATCTTTTATGAATCGAATGAGTGGTTTTGCATGGTTATAGTACTTGTAGTTTTGTTGTAATTTGCATTTAAAAAATCGGTAAGTAACAAAAACGACTCCAACTAATTCTTCTAAAATCTTATGGCTTTCTTAAGATTACTTTATTTTCAAGTATATTAGCTTGAAGATGAATATTTTATGAATCTAACGAGTGGTCTTGAATCGTTATAGTCCTTCTAGTTGTCTTGTAACTGAAAATTAAAATCTAAGACTTTCAAATACGAAAAACGATAAGTAAAAAAAACAACTCCAATATTTCTTCCAAAAATCTATTCGTTTTCTTGAGATTACTTTACTTTAAATTGAATTATCTTAAAAATGAATATTTTATGAATCGAATAAGTGGTTTTAAATCGATATAGTCTTTATAGTTTTCTCGTAATTTCCAGTTAAATTCCAAGACTTTTTTTTAACGACTCCAAAAAATTCCTCTAAAATCTTCCGCTTTTCTTGAATTTATTTCAGTTTCACGTATATTAGCTTGAAAATGAATCTTTTATGAATCGAATAACTATTTTTACATTATTATAGTCTTTATAACTTTCTTAATATTTACTGTTAAAATCAATGTAAAGAAAAAAAAATGAAAATTTTTAAAGTTTCTTATATTTACTCAATACTAATTGATTACATAAATGATAATTAATAGTTAACGCTAAGATTATAGTGAATAATATGTGTATAAATTCAAATTTGCAAGAATCATAATTTTCAAAATCGATTTTTTTTTTGTAGTAACTTCACGTTTTGTAGTTTTATTAAACAATTACGCATAGTACATATACAAATGAATATTCAAATTAAAGCTAAGATTTAAGAGAATAAAACGTGTATAAACTGAAATTTGTGAGAATCCCAATTTTGCTATTATTTTCGCTCAAAAGTGAACTTAAAAAAAATTGTAGTAAATTTACGTTTCGTTATTTTATTTGATAATTACACTTAGTACATAAACAAATGAATATTCATATGAAAGCTAAGACTGTAAGGAATTAAATTAATATAAATTGATTCAATTTTACTGTTAGATTTATCTTCGAAAACGTAAATTATTAATTTATGTATAATAAAATTAACGTTTTCCCTTTTTGACAAACTTTCGATTTCGAATACGAAATGAGGACGGATCTGTGGGTTTGACCGAAAACGCTTCATTATGAATGGGCAGGTCCCATGAAAGGGGAGGACCAACCCCTCGCTAATCCCAGGTAAAGTACCGGTGAAACCGCTAAAGTTTTCCTTTCCTCTCCGTCTCTCCTACACGTTACCAACGTATCTCCATCTCTCTTCGACACATTGACAACATTGTTTCAAAGCCTACTAAGTAATTGATTGATTTAGTAAATAAACTGTTGAAATTTTTGGACTTGTTTAGGAAACGTTTGTGCTTTATGAATATGTATATTGGGATGATCGCTTTTCTCGCCGAGTCTAGTGGATGTACGAAATTTATTTATATGTATGCGATGATGTGTCGGATCTGGCGTATAAATAGCCTCGGTGTTGCGCCTCTCGTGCATTTGTGTTCGAAATTTCGGTCTGTAAATGGAAATGCCCTGAAGCCGAAGCTGGATATATCCTCTCGCGCGAGATGAAGTGAGATGAAAGTATGGGAAAAGGCTTGCGTTGAACAGAGATAATGTATGTGAGTCGGTTGGATGTAGAGTGTTGTGTGTGGATGGAGGTCGTCGATAAATGGTAAATAAACGGCCCTTTGATTCGGCGTGTGCGACTGTGAAAAGCAAACCGTAGAACGGCGGCTGCGACGTGACTGAACTAAACTTACAATTAAGTTTATACACACTCTCGTGCACCGACAAAGAGAGAAAATACGCCTGTGTATGTGCACGAATGTGCGCAACAGAGAGAGAGAGAGACGAAGAGATGGTAATGGAAAGAGCTAGAGAGAGAGAGAAGGGCTCAATGGTGGAATCGAATTTCCATCGGATACAAATCGCGTAATTGAATATTGAAAGTGAGGAGAGGAAATCAAAGAGCGAAAGCTGTGACCCAAAAAAGGAAACAGAAGGACAAGAAAAAAAGGTACAATCGGTACAAATATTGTACACTTAACATTACTTAACATTTTCTACATTACTATGTTATCTAATTAGATTATTAAACATATAAATTAATAACAAAACAAAGACCTTTACAATGATCGTATTATCACGTATGTGGTGTGCGACAGTATTTTGTTATAAGCTGTCAAATTGGGAGATACATTGAAAAAAGTATCTTCAGTTTTTGTCTTATTACTCAATAACCATGCATGCTAATTAGTTTATTAAATATGAAAATTAAAGATAAAATATTAGTGTTTCTAACGAGTCTACTATAATGTTTGTGCTATATTTAGTTCGTCTGTTATAAACTATCAAAATTTGATACAAATTTCACAATTTAAAAAAAAAATCAAAAATATTTTTTCAATAGATTTGATTTGATTGTATTACAAATTAACTCTAAATTATAGTTATTCACATATAATAAGAGGATTTATATTGTGCAACTATTGATATAATCTTAATAACGTAAAGTCAATTAATAATCGAGGTTTTTTAAAACATGTCTTCACATCTTATTCAATTATTTGTTTACTAAAAACTCTAATTAGATTATTTATTATTCAAATTAAAGTTAAAACTACGATCTTTACAATGAGTATATTAACAGGTTTGTGGTATGCGACACTCTTTTGTTATAAGCTGTCAAATTGGGAGATACATTGATAAAAGTATCTTCACTTTTCATCTTATTACTCAATAACCATGCATGCTAATTAGTTTATTAAATATGGAAATTAAAGATAAAATAATAGCCTTTACAACGAATCTACTATAATAGGAGTGCTATATTTAGTTCGCATGTTATAAGCTGT